CTAGCCATTTTTGAGAGGTAAACTGAATATGGCATGAAATATTCACCACATTTTACTTGTATTATCAGGTCATTGTCGAAGCGTAGTTTACGCACGGTTACCGCGTTCTACACATTCACAACATGTTCACAGCGGCCAATATTCACGCTGTATCAGATAAAAACGATTACCAAGATTCGTTACGCAAGACCAAGTTTTAAATTAGTTGCATTTTGAAGGGGTGGGCGCTTTGCCGAATGTGACCCCAAATATAAAAATTGCGCAAAAGTGGGGGGGTGGGCGCTTGCCCGGGCATGGGCGCTGACGCGGTCGAGTACGGTACTATTATATTACTACAGTTGTTCATGGTTAAAAATTTTGATTGAGAATGAACTTCATTTCTGACATTTGCTCTTTTTGATGTGCCCACTGCAAGAGTAAAATAAGATCCATACTCACATGTATGAGCTGTTCTGCAATATCGAGCATTCCTTTTCTGAAGAAATGTTCGCAGACGACTTCATTTATCAAGTGGATCTTCTCTGGTGTTTCAAATTTTGACTCCTGACCAAGGGCGTTGATGTCTGGCATGAAGTTCTGTAAAAGAGAAAGAAAATCATGACAATCACATTTTTTTTTCAAACATGCACATCTGAGGCATTTCATGTTTACATAAAGATGTCAAACAGATAAGTTTTTATAAAGGGCCTTACGGGGGAGGAAGGGACTAACTAATATTAACAGTTTTTTTTTAATGTCTGAAATCTAATATGTTGGCTTCAACATCATCACAAATGGTGGGAACTGGCAGCCGAAGTTATTAATTTAATAACGTCGCAGTTCTAGTGTTAGCCAGCATGCTTTCAGGTTGCTTTTAGAAAATACAGTGCTGCCAGAAAGAGTTTTAAATCTGTTGAACTAAAACGAATTAGTTAACAGAGATTTGATACAGTTCTAACTATAAAAGCAGGAGATGGATTTAAAACTGCAGTCAGTTTAGATTAGTTTGACATACCCTGTCGATGGCTTTACCAACTTTGGAAACACTGCTATGCAGATCTTTATGGTTTGTTCCTATACACGTAACGCTGTCTTTAACCTTCTGTAAACACCGAGTGAGAATTAACGACTGGGCGGCACTGGTTTCACTATCGGCAGAAACTGCAATATGAAAATAATAGTATTATACAAACTGCATGTATGTCATAATTTAAAAGATTTAAATTCACAAGTTTTCTAGTGTAAATAATGATTTCAATTGTAATTTTACATATTCATATTACTTAGTAGATATCAGTTATCAACGAAAATAGTGAAATTAAAACAATAAGTTGTGTATTTAAAGCAGCAATACCTATAGCCAATCTAATTAAAATAAGATCCTACTTTGGGCTTTATTTTTTTAATTTTTTTTTTAAATACGTATAAATATTTATTTTTATTATATATTTTCTTTTACTTTCTTTTATCTTAATTTATTATTTAATTGCTGGCAGTTTTTTAAGAGTTTTTGGAATCACAAAAGCCCACAACGATCTAACCCAATGACCATATAAATCCTGTTCAAATCTTGCATGAGCAACAGCCAATCACAGCTAGCCTTTTATATTGGCTAACTGTGTACTCATTGGAGAAAATAATTAATAAACAATTACAATGTACAAGAAAGATTGTGTTACGTGGCGTGGGTTTCATTTTGAAGACAATCTTCTCAATTTGAAGGCCCGGAAAAGGTGGTTAGATACTCTAAAATAAGATACTGTTGTATGGCTAAAATTCATATTCTATTGTTCATTCGCACATGTTTGTGCCAAGGAAAAGCCATATGAGCTACAGCTGCTGTTCCATAATTAACTACTGCGACGGACAATAACATTTTTGTGACATGCTCTTGATCATATTTTCTTGTAAGTTGTACAAAAACACGACCAGACATGTACCATCTAGATCGTTATTGCTCCAGTGATCTCAATATGCTATTGATTATTATGAATGCAATTATTGCATACTTGATTTGCAGTAACATTTAGATTGACTTCAGTATTAGTACCGGTACATTCACTCGCATCTCAAATTGGTAAAGTGTGAGAAGCAGGCACTTTTCAAAATTTGGCAAGACTGGATGTTTGTTCCTGCCATGCAAATACATTTTTTCGCAAATCTGTGTTGACATTTGATAATTAGAATTTGGATTTGAATTCTTGTCATTAAAATGTTGATGTTTATTGGTTTGATTTCAAAATTCCACGATACCACAACATCGAAAAATATCAGTTGTTCAATTTTATTGGCAAGGATGAAATAAGTGTAAATGAGTTGCGAGAAAATGACAGTTTCACGCTCTAGTATCATATTTTTTGCAATTCATAATTTCAGAGTAGCAATACTCTATGGACAATCTTTCTGTACAATATATTTTGCCCACCAATAAATAAATACATTTGCTAAATAAATTACAAAAGAGATTTCACAGCATTTTACAATTTTTTTCATTACATTTTATATTTTTTTTTTATTTCCAACTAATGTGTACACTTTCTGCTGTATCTTTGCCAGGCAAGGTTTGTTTATTCAATCATCTCTTCAACACTGGGCATTATTAACTAGAACATCGATAGAATTCGCCATTTTATTTGAGTGTGTTTGCGATCTGTTTCTGACCGGTGACATCACCAGGAGGGCTATAGAAGGGAATCTATGATTGGTTGACTAAACAAGTCAGAGGGGATTTTGTTGAAATCTTGTTATATATGTGATGGTTCAGATGTATGTGGCGATAGTTAAAAATAAAAAATTAGATGCACGTAATAATAATATAAACAATTACAAAATTTTAAAATAATACAAAGATTTAGTAAAATAAAATAAAATTAATATAAAATTAAATTAAATTCACACTGTACAATACATCAGATTTTAATCAGATTGTAACTATTAGTCTATTTTATCCAATTTTTATATTTAATAAAACATTTTTCTATGTCATTAGTGTCAATTTATAATGGCAATCATCATAATGTGAGCACTGAAAGCATAGCATAAACGCTATATACCAAGATTGTACATTGAATCACAAGTATATAAAGATGGGCACCGGGTTGTGCCTGCAGGGTTTTCACATTTCATGTGACATTAGCCTTTGTGTAACTTTCACTTAATTTATTTTGTGTATTTTTTGTTAACACAAGGTACACCTCTTTTACACATTATACAATTTATTTTGTTTATTGTTTGTGTGTGACAAAATTTAAGGGCCATGTTTTGTCATAGGTGGAAGATTACAAGAAAATATCCAGAGGTTGTGAGATAAATATTTCACAATTTACATATCGATATCTTGCTATGTTAATGTTGTTTGGCATTGAGTTTAATTAATAAATACTGTAAACACAGATTTTACTTGTAGGCCTCGACTTTCAATGACAAAAGCGCAGAATATTTTTATTCGCAGAGGCTAATGCTACATTGTTTGTTTTAGCCATGTACTAAGAGTTTTAGCCATTTCATAAATAGGGAGGTAACAAAATTTTCAGATTCATGTAGAAAATTAAAACTATACACTTCATATTGAAGGGTGATCACATGTTTTTAAATGATGACTATTTCCTCAGAATAATAGTTTAAAACTAGTCCTAGCCACGGACAATGAAAGTCACAATTACTGAAGCCAAATCTCAATGTACTTCTACCAACTGGTGAAGGGTTAGTGAAAGCCCAGACAACACTTTCCTCAAAATGATGTAACTGTTTTTCCATATTTATCATACAGTAGAAACACGATTTTCAGACAAGCAAGAAAATACACATCACTAGTATAAATCAAACTCTTTTAAGGTAGCGGGACTATTATTTGCATACTTGTTTTCATCTTCTAATTGTGACTAAATGACTACAAATAGACCCGGGAAAGTATATATTTTTAGAATCGCCAGACTTCAAGCTTTTCACAAGTGTACTTTGCTTGCCCGTATCTGCAATCTACGACGCGTTACTCAA